TGGCAGCTGAAAACATTGCGGTATGTTAATGCATTTCTCAATGTGCCAGCTGGCGGGCTGATTACATGAATTAAAGCTCTACGTATTCTAAAAATCCATGTGGTGGCAAACTCGCTTAGTGATAAGTAAAATCAAAGGTAAAGTAACTAGTACATGCCACCTCCCTTCTACAGACACTGCAATATTAAATGTAGCCGCAGCATGTTTAAGTAATATCTAGGCAGTGTTTATTCTATTAGGTTAAACCTGCGTGCAATCGCAAACTCTTCCAGTCATTTTGTAATGTTATTCTAATACCACTAGGTGGCACAGTAGGACTAGCACAAGGTATATCACCAAGCAATACATGTTTCTGCTATGATGTGGGCTGTCATGATTGCACTGCTAACATGCATCTAACAAAATGCAAGATTTAAAATTTTATTTTGGACGTAAACATGTAAAGGTGAATGTTAAACATGTAAACATAACCACTCTTTTGTTTATATTCCGATCTCTGATGCTCATTTCAGAAGTTATTTCTGATGCCATTCAATCCCTTTAATATTATTATAATTTTTTGGCGCCAACCTATTCTGCAGCGCAGTCTATCACTGTGACCCAACTGCTTCTAAAATGAATACTGCTGCATTAGCCCAATCACAGGAGGAGAGGCAGCAGACAGGCACATGGGACATGTCTTCAGTATTAAACTGTTTGAAAATGGTTTAACACTTTAAGGTAAGACAGTGCCAGGGACCCCACACTGCATCACTGCATAGAGTGTCCTTTAACGTTGCCTTGGTTACATCAGTATCTGTTAATATCCTCAATCCAGTGATATCTGATAATCTGACCAGGGGTGGACTGAGAACCCTCAGGGCCCCTGGGCAAAATAAATCAAGGGCCCCCTTACAGGCCCCACCCATACTCCGCAGCAAGCGCCACCCTTGTCCCGCCTCCATGCACCGCCTCCAGCCACACCCTACACAATCTTTAGACACAAGGAACAAAAGTGCAATAATCCCTTCGAGGCCCCAGTAGAGACTACAATTGAGGGCTAATGGGCCATGGAGGGGGGTCTTTCTAACAGAGGCCATCTCAGCGTCCATTAGATAGCCTCTGCTGGAAACAGTCGCCTCCAGGTCCCAGTAGAGACTACAATTGAGGGCTAATGGGCCATGGAGGGGGGGTCTTTCTAGCAGAGGCTATCTCAGTGTCCTTTAGAGAGTGTGTTAGAAAGAATCTCCTCCAGACCCCATAAGAGACTACAATGGAGTCTAATGAGGCCTGGAGGGGGGTCTCTCCAACACTCTGGTTCCTATTCACAATATAGCAACACAACATAGCTCGCTGATACCTAGGCCAAGTTGGCTCCTCTTACCTTAATTACTGTTGCTGGCTGGCAGTTTGTGGGCTTGCTGGAAGGCTGCGGGCTTGCCGGCTGCGGCTTGCAGGCTGCGGCTTGCCGGCAGGCTGTGGGCTTGCTGGCTACTGCCGGCATGGTGTGGGCTTGCTGGCTACTGCCGGCATGCTGTGGGCTTGCTGGCTACTGCCGGCAGGCTGTGGGCTTGCTGGCTACTGCCGGCAGGCTGTGGGGTTGCTGGCTACTGCCGGCAGGCTGTGGGCTTGCTGGCTACTGCCGGCAGGCTGTGGCTTGCTGGCTGCGGCTGGCAGGCTGTGGCTTGCTGGCTATGACTGGCAGACTGTGGGCTTGCTGGCTATAAGCCTGTGGCTTGCTGTAGGCCTGTGGGCTGACTACTGGCCTGGCTGACCTGTGGGCTGACTGGCTGGCCTGTGGGCTGGCTAACTGGTGGCCTGTGGGCTGGCTGGCCTGTGGGCTGGCTGTCTTGCTGGCTACCGGGGCACTTGTAGATTATTTAAATAAATAATCCATTCACAATAACCACTACTGCTCTGTGTAGTGGTAATGGTGCCAGGAGGGCCGGGCCCCCCTCCCAGAGTAAGTAGTCAAACTGTTTAAGAACATGCTCCTCCCTCCTTACGTCCTCAGCATTAGTGACAGGACAGGAGTGCCGCTGTACCAGCCAGCCACTCAGAGTGTGCCACCGGACCGCTCACCCGGTGGCACCTACTTGTTTAGCACCGGTGGGCCAATCTGGCCCTGCCGCAGGGCCCCCTGATGGCGGGCTCCTCTCCCGACTGGGCCCTCGGACCATGTCTGAAGTGTCCGACTGGTCAGTCTGCCCATGAATCTGACCCATTTCTGATTATAATAAAATTACTACTTAAGAGAGCACCTCCCCTCCTCCCCACCCCGAGAAAAATAAATCCTTAAATAAAATGGTACTATTTACATCATGTCCAATATATTTTGCCTGTTTGGATTAATTCCGCACTGTGCTCATGTGACAGAAGGAGCAGCCAGTGATTGGCTGAAACTTTCCTGGGCTGTGCTTGAAGTTTTTAAAACTATTGAAGAAATAAAAATAAAATCTCTGTTTAACTCCTTCACACTCAGATTCCTGAATGCACCAGTCTAGCTTGAATTTAGAATGCTATTAGATAAACCAAAAGAATGTCAATGCATTGTACTTGTGGGCATTTCCCCTTATTCCACCCACAGACCGCACTACATGGATGAGAAACTAATCTTCCCCTGTTAGTGCTGGTGGTCTGTCACTACTGGAGCTGGCAAAGGCTCATTAAATACAGTAATGATAATAGCAGCCACTAGGGGAGGAGAAGGCAGGTACGATTCTGTGCACACATTAGGGCTTATGTGTTAACTCCATTCCCCAAAACACTAGCAGAATCTTTACAAAAACAGCTGTTTAGTTTGATTGTATTTTCTTTAATTAACCTTTGCGCTCTCATTTTTATGACCCTCCTTGAAGGACTGTAAGAGAGGAGATAACTTCTAGTCTCTAAATATTTCCAAGTGTCGGCAAATGAACAAAACAACCCCCCTGATGACGATGTGAACAGGCAACCAGAATTAACAGTTCCTCATTAATCAATGACATCAATGAAAAGACAATTAAATACTATAACTAAAATACAACATAGCAACATAAATAACATAATAAAACACACATCGATAACATAATAAAACACACATCGATAACATAATAAAACACACATCGATAACATTGCATCAATAATATAATAAAACACACATCGATAACATAGTATCGATAATATAATAAAACACACAACGATAACATAGCAACATCGATAACATAATAAAACACACATCAATAACATAATAGAACACACATCGATAACATTGCATCAATAATATAATAAAACACACATCGATAACATAGTATCGATAATATAATAAAACACACATCGATAACATAGCAAAATCGATAATATAATAAAACACACATCGATAACATAGCATCGAAAATATAATAAAACACACATCGATAACATAGCATCGATAACATAATAAAACACACATCGATAACATAGCAACATCGATAACATAATAAAACACACATCGATAACATAGCAACATCGATAACATAATAAAACACACATCGATAACATAGCATCGATAACATAATAAAACACACATCAATAACATAGCATCGATAACAATAAAACACACATCGATAACATAGCATCGATAACATAAAAAACACACATCGATAACATAGCAACATCGATAACATAATAAAACACACATCGATAACATAGCATTGATAACATAATAAAACACACATCAATAACATAGCATCGATAATATAATAAAGCAAACATCGATAACATAGCAACATCGATAACATAATAAAACACACATCGATAACATAGCAATATCGATAACATAATAAAGCACACATCGATAACATAGCATCGATAACATAATAAAACACACATCGATAACATAGCATCGATAACATAATAAAACACACATCGATAACATAGCATCGAAAACATAATAAAACACACATCGATAACATAGCAACATCGATAACATAATAAAACACACATCGATAACATAGCATTGATAACATAATAAAACACACATCAATAACATAGCATCGATAATATAATAAAGCAAACATCGATAACATAGCAACATCGATAACATAATAAAACACACATCGATAACATAGCAATATCGATAACATAATAAAGCACACATCGATAACATAGCATCGATAACATAATTAAACACACATCGATAACATAGCATCGATAACATAATAAAACACACATCGATAACATAGCATCGAAAACATAATAAAACACACATCGATAACATAGCATCGAAAACATAATAAAACACACATCGATAACATAGCAACATCGACACCATAATAAAACACACATCGATAACATAGCATCGATAACATAATAAATCACACATTGATAACATAGCATCGATAACATAATAAAACACACATCAATAACATAGCATCGATAACAATAAAACACACATCGATAACATAGCATTGATAACATAATAAAACACACATCGATAACATAGCATCGATAATATAATAAAACACACATCAATAACATAGCATCGATAATATAATAAAGCAAACATCGATAACATAGCATCGATAACATAATAAAACACACATCGATAACATAGCAACATCGATAACATAATAAAACACGGGGGGCGGGGCCGGGCGGCCATGCCAGCAGGCTGCATATCACACGGGCTCCTGAGCAAACAAAGGAAAAAAGGCAATATATCCACTTTACCCGACTTATACGGACCCGGGGGTCCATGACATGAAGCCCTGAAGTGTCCCAGTGTAGCTGGAGCGCCCGCCGCAGGGTGGCTCTAGGTCCTGGTGAGAGACTCTGGCGCTCGGGGATTGAGGCCTACCCGGGAGGGGAGCGGGGTGGACGGCCGCTGCCTCGCTCTCCACTCCGACTGCAGTAAATCACCATCTACTTGGTACCTTCCTGGTCCTGCTTCCCCCCCCATGGGCCGGGGGGGTCATCCCGGTCCCCACCAGGCGGGCTAATGCCTAAACGTCTCACCTGAATGGTCTGAAGCCGGAGTGAGGATCCCACGCGGTCTCACCAAAATGGCTGACGGAGGCACAGCAACTGCATCGACAGAAGGTGATCACTCTGTGCTCACAACCTGCTACCACCGGGGGTCCCTGAGGGCTCTCATGCCCCCACGTAACAGCCCTGGAACATACAAGCTGACAAATGAGAACCACCACAGCCAGCATTTCCTCCACATGCCCATCTCAAAGCGGCAACCCCAGAAGGGCACTCTGCAAGCAAGCTCCACTAACGACCAGGGCTGGAAGAACAAACAGAACACCCAGCTTTACCCACTGACCGCATGGTGCTATAGCCCTCGACAATACATCAAGGCTCGCAAGACATGGCAAACCTACCCAACAACCGGGACATTAGGAACAAGTGGAATACATGGGGTAATATCAAGGGACTCACCCCACACCTGGGCATGGAACACAACCAGATTACCTCAGGCTTTGCGCTGGGCTGGAGCTGACGGTGACCCCAGCCGTTCATAATAAGAAGCACAATATATAGTATGACATGAATAGCTATACCAGATATCACTGTAGTTGCAGTCATTGAATAACGTGCATATCCTCTGCATATGACCCTGTATATAGTTCAGCTTTACTTGAGCTTTATATGTATAGAAGGAAATAACTGAATGTATGATGCTCTGCCTGGTGGCACCCTACTTTAATGAGAATCTTAGCTAAAGTTGGAAACCTTAATAGAAATAGATATATTTTGTTAGTCAGCACTGCATAGTCTATTATAACCTAAAGTGCAAACTCACAGTCTCAACTATTGCATGTCACGACTACTTAGACCAACTGTTACTGTACAAAATGTATGTCTCTCACTTAAGCATAGTCAGGCATAACCGTGTCAATGTCTAGATAATGAAGCGATGACACGCGACATAAATATTAACCCTAAGCTACTGGTACTAATCGACAATGTAATTCAAAAGACAGACGTAGTTACTAAGCTTGTACTTAACTTGTATTATTACCCTAAAAAAAAAAATGTGTGCGTGTCCTCTATGCTATACAACAGTTGACAAATAAGTGTCTGTAAATTGATTGCGATTGCTGTTGTGGCATTGTTGATATGCAAAATTATTTCATGCACAGCAAAAATAAAGAATTAAAAAAAAAAAACATAATAAAACACACATCGATAACATAGCATCGATAACATAATAAAACACACATCGATAACATAGCATCAATAACATAATAAAACACACATCGATAACATAGCATCGATAACATAATAAAACAAACATCGATAACATAGCAACATCGATAACATAATAAAACACACATCGATAACATAGCATCGATAACATAATAAAACACACATCGATAACATAGCATTGATAACATAATAAAACACACATCGATAACATAGCAACATCGATAACATAATAAAACACACATCGATAACATAGCATCGATAACATAATAAAACACACATCGATAACATAGCATCGATAACATAATAAAACACACATCGATAACATAGCAACATCGATAATATAATAAAACACACATCGATAACATAGCATCGATAACATAATAAAACACACATCGATAACATAGCAACATCGATAACATAATAAAACACACATCGATAACATAGCATCGATAACATAATAAAACACACATCGATAACATAGCATTGATAACATAATAGAACACACATCGATAACATAGCATCGATAATATAATAAAACACACATCGATATACATAATAAAACACACATCGATAACATTGCATCAATAATATAATAAAACACACATCGATAACATAGCATCGATAACATAATAAAACACACATCGATAACATAGCATCGATAATATAATAAAACACACATCGATAACATAGCATTGATAACATAATAGAACACACATCGATAACATAGCATCGATAATATAATAAAACACACATCAATAACTTAGTATCGATAACATAATAAAACACACATCGATAACATTGCATCAATAATATAATAAAACACACATCGATAACATAGCATCGATAACATAATAAAACACACATCGATAACATAGCATTGATAACATAATAGAACACACATCGATAACATAGCATCGATAATATAATAAAACACACATCGATAACATAGCATCGATAACATAATAAAACACACATCGATAACATAGCAACATCGATAACATAATAAAACACACATCGATAACATAGCAACATCGATAACATAATAAAACACACATCGATAACATAGCATTGATAACATAATAGAACACACATCGATAACATAGCATCGATAATATAATAAAACACACATCAATAACATAGCATCGATAACATAATAAAACACACATCAATAACATAGCATCGATAACATAATAAAACACACATCAATAACATAGCATCGATAACATAATAAAACACACATCGATAACATAGCATCGATAACATAATAAAACACACATCGATAACATAGCAACATCGATAACATAATAAAACACACATCGATAACATAGCATCGATAACATAATAAAACACACATCGATAACATAGCATCAATAACATAATAAAACACACATCGATAACATAGCATCGATAACATAATAAAACAAACATCGATAACATAGCAACATCGATAACATAATAAAACACACATCGATAACATAGCATCGATAACATAATAAAACACACATCGATAACATAGCATTGATAACATAATAAAACACACATCGATAACATAGCAACATCGATAACATAATAAAACACACATCGATAACATAGCATCGATAACATAATAAAACACACATCGATAACATAGCATCGATAACATAATAAAACACACATCGATAACATAGCAACATCGATAATATAATAAAACACACATCGATAACATAGCATCGATAACATAATAAAACACACATCGATAACATAGCATTGATAACATAATAGAACACACATCGATAACATAGCATCGATAATATAATAAAACACACATCAATAACTTAGTATCGATAACATAATAAAACACACATCGATAACATTGCATCAATAATATAATAAAACACACATCGATAACATAGCATCGATAACATAATAAAACACACATCGATAACATAGCATTGATAACATAATAGAACACACATCGATAACATAGCATCGATAATATAATAAAACACACATCGATAACATAGCATCGATAACATAATAAAACACACATCGATAACATAGCAACATCGATAACATAATAAAACACACATCGATAACATAGCAACATCGATAACATAATAAAACACACATCGATAACATAGCAACATCGATAATATAATAAAACACACATCGATAACATAGCATCGATAACATAATAAAACACACATCGATAACATAGCAATATCGATAACATAATAAAGCACACATCGATAACATAGCATCGATAACTTAATAAAACACACATCAATAACATAGTATCGATAACATAATAAAACACACATCGATAACATTGCATCAATAATATAATAAAACACACATCGATAACATAGCATCGATAACATAATAAAACACACATCGATAACATAGCATCGATAATATAATAAAACACACATCGATAACATAGCATCGATAACATAATAAAACACACATCGATAACATAGCATCGATAATATAATAAAACACACATCAATAACATAGCATCGATAACATAATAAAACACACATCGATAACATAGCAACATCGATAATATAATAAAACACACATCAATAACATAGTATCGATAACATAATAAAACACACATCGATAACATAGCATCGATAATATAATAAAACACACATCGATAACATAGCAACATCGATAACATAATAAAACACACATCGATAACATTGCATCAATAATATAATAAAACACACATCGATAACATAGCATCGATAATATAATAAAACACACATCAATAACATAGTATCGATAACATAATAAAACACACATCGATAACATAGCATCGATAATATAATAAAACACACATCGATAACATAGCAACATCGATAACATAATAGAACACACATCGATAACATTGCATCAATAATATAATAAAACACACATCAATAACATAGTATCGATAACATAATAAAACACACATCGATAACATTGCATCAATAATATAATAAAACACACATCGATAACATAGCATCGATAACATAATAAAACACACATCGATAACATAGCAACATCGATAATATAATAAAACACACATCAATAACATAGTATCGATAACATAATAAAACACACATCGATAACATAGCATCAATAATATAATAAAACACACATCGATAACCTTGCATCAATAATATAATAAAACACACATCAATAACATAGCAACATCGATAACATAATAAAACACACATCGATAACATAGCATCGATAACATAATAAAACACACATTGATAACATATTAAAACACACATCGATAACATAGCATTGATAATATAATAAAACACACATTGATAACATTGCATCGATAATATAATAAAACACACATCGATAACATAGCAACATCGATAATATAATAAAACACACATCGATAACATAGCATTGATAACATAATAGAACACACATCGATAACATAGCATCGATAACATAATAAAACACACATCGATAACATAGCATCGATAACATAATTAAACACACATCGATAACATAGCATCGATAACATAATAAAACACACATCGATAACATAGCAACATCGATAACATAATAAAACACACATCGATAACATAGCATCGAAAACATAATAAAACACACATCGATAACATAGCATCGATAACATAATAAAACACACATCGATAACATAATAACACATGCATCCATTATAACTGATAAGCCCATTAGAAGTACTTTAAAGAAATCCTCCCCCCCCCCCACACACTGCAATGTCTATGCAGAACACAATGAGTTACAGTGTATTTACCTCTCTGTAACTTTTTTCCTGTGATATAATCGAACCTCACAGCAATATCGAGAGTTAATCTCACAATATTCGTTCTTCAATCCAAACATCATGAAAATAACTATAAAATCACGGTTTTAAGACAATAACATTTTCTGAACATTGCCTTGTTACCGGCAGGAAAACTGTTCATATCATTTAGATTGTGATCTGTTTGATAAATGTTACCAGCTAAAAGTCAGAAAAGCAGAAAACATAATCAGTCAGTGTAGGCCTGAGAGAGCTAGATAGACATCTCTTGTTTTAGAGAATATTAAACTTCAATTTTATTTTTAAGAGAATTTGGAGTGAAAGAGTTAATTGTCTCTTCTTGACAAGATAGAGCTTGCAGTTAATATCTTGTCTAAGTGGGATAGCATCTTTACGTGGCTCTACATTAGGCCTGGAACTAATTTAATGCAGGTGGTGGTGGTGCAGGGACCGCTAGCGTTCCCCCTGAGAATCATTCAAGCTCAAGTTGGCTGAAAATTACCACTTTGAAGATGAATGCAGGTTTAGCTGTGAATA